AATTGTTTAAAATAATGTAAATACAAGTTAATTTTTAAAATTAAAATTCTAATACAAAAAACATGATTGTTGAAGTCAACTAATCTACCCCCCCCCCCCCAACTTCCCCTTGTCATCAACTGTCAAACATTTCCACCCCCAACCCCCATTTTGTTGTCGTAATTAATTGACGCCCCCTTTCAGGATATTCTGTAATTTAGAATCATAATCAAAATGCCTTTTATTGCGAAATTGTTTTGTGTGTTGAAAAATTGGTTCATAGCTACTTTATGCTACTTTAAAAAAAAAAAAAAAAAAAAAAATTAAATTAAAGCGAAAACAAATTACTTAAAATAAAAAGTAATATAAATTATGACGTCACATGTTCCACTTTTGTAAGTGACAATGGTCTTATTTCTACGCCTACCAATCAATCCCCAGACCACTTATTTTATTTTTTTTTAACCCTTTCCCCACTCCCATCCCGCATTTTAGAAGTATCTCAATATTTGTCAATAATGTATCGTATACGAAATGAGCCTTCAACTTCAACCCAGACACGCTATTTAATATTTATGAATATTTAAGAGGTCCACATAAAGAATTAATAAAACAAAAAGCAATTATTATGACTGCATGAGTGACTTTTCGATATTTCTTGTCATTTAATTTATTGAGGTATAAAACAGTTTTTTTTTTCTTTAACTTTAATATTTGCTTTCAATTAATTTATCTCGAAATTATCTCTTGTTTACTTAAACCACGGTTGAAAAGGGGGACTACTCCCGACTACTTGAGACTAAAATCATAATATGCGAGATTTTTTTGAAGGCCTGGGCATTGTAATTTTTTTAAAATAAATAATTGCAATGGTGATTTTGAATGTGCTTATGCACAAAAGTATTATCTTAAATTTTCTATTAATATTTCAAATTAGTAAATATACTTGTGAATCTCCTAATAAAGCTAATCACGAAAAGCAAAAGTATACAAGAGGTAAGTGTAAGACTCGGTTGCCGTCTTAAGTCGTAAGAAGAGTACGGTAAGACTAGTAAGAGGAAGACATGACTAGATTAAAGATAAAGAAGAAATAAGAGAATTTAGGCTATTTGTTTTTATTTGCTTCTTTTAAATTTAGTTGCACCTAAGTTTCCCTGGCCCTATTTGTCTAAGTCTTCGACCTTCGGGATAGAATTGGCTTGACGCAGTGGCGTAGTTAGTTTAGGGATAGTTTATCGACCCTGCTCTTTCCCCCCCCCCCTTTTTTTTTTCCCCCCCCCCCCCCCATTTGAAAAAACTCTGCAATTTGGCCTAAATAAGCAATCCCAAGCTCTTTTACTTGCAGAGCCCAATTTTAGAATCAATTTCTATGGGGGTGGGGAGGAGAGCCCCTTCTTAGGTCTGCCATAGCCATATGTCTTAAGAGGCCCCTAGGCCTACCATATCCTCAAAGTGAGTCAAAGGCCTGTGGAGCCCCTGAGAAGTGCACCTGATGTAGATGTAGCACCGGTTGGTAACCACTAGTTCCGACTACAGACTAAATACAGTGCAGTATTAGGCCCTTGGACCTGGTAGTAGGCTATATGACATGATCAATAATAATTAATAATTGATAATTTATGACTAATGGAATCTTACGATTGAGTTTTGGTTTAAAAATAAAAAGTTGATTCATTAGGCCTAATAGTAAGTAAAAGTAGGCCTTCAGCGATATAATTTATAACTACTTTACTTTATAAGTATTAATTGGCTTTCCATTTCCATGGCATTGGTGAAGTTGGATAAAGGGGTTGTGTGGTGGGTCAGGGGCAGGGTGTTCAGAAGTCATGCTAAAATCTACATCAAGACCGCAATCACAGTGATTCTTATTAGATTTCTTATGGTGTTTACACAAAAAATGGTGTAACCTTTTAACAAAAACATCCCAATTATTAATTTTGTTATTAAAATTAAACCAAGCATACAAAAAAAAAACTCCTGAAACCATAGTTTTTTAGGCTTTTCTTAGTGCTAAAATCTTAGGCTCAAAAACGTAGTACTATGGCGAAAGCATAGAGGTAAACAAGTTTGTGAATGCCTCAGAAAAGGGAATGACTTAAAATCACCAAACTGGGTGGAAATTGAGTGCCAGTATTTAAAAAAAGAAAGAATTGTACCTCTTTAAGATAAGTTATAAAATATCACAAAAGCTCAGTAATAGAAATATAATTCCTGTCCAGTTAATGTTTCAACATTCCATTTTATCTTTTGAAAACCTTTCCCTTTGCAATAAACGTCTTATAATTAAAAATAAAAAAATAAAAATATTTTTGGTTTTGTTATAATAGAAAATGCCAAATTCATGGTAGGATAAATTTTATTTTTTACTAAATTTCATGCATTGTGTAACTGTAATTAATTCATTTTTTATCAATAATCTATTACATAAATACATTAACATACAAAAGCATCCCAGTGGACACACTACCTGGAGTTAATTGATGGTGCTGTTTCAAAATATGAAGATTGTTACAATGAAGGCTGTGCATGTTTTGCCAGGTAAGAATTTATTTTTATGTATGTAAATGCCTATTTTAAGATAATTAATAAATACTTTAAATTGATAAAAGTAGCTAGCTCATTTTTTTTTATAGGAAAAATTATTTTCTTGGAGTAAGTGTAACCATTCTTATACAATTTTTTTCTCTCACCACTCTATCTTAACCATATTCACTTTTTCAACTATAAAAGTTTATTTGCCCTACCCCCTTACACCATCCCATTTTCCCCCCTGCTCCCCTTTCAATTTAATTTAAAATCAATATTTACCTCACTTTCGCCAAACCCACAAAACTGTTTTTAATAATTTAGTCTTTTTTTTTCACAAAGTTCCCTTAGTCTCTCCTTTAAAAAAAAAATCTTTTTACCTATGTTGAAGGCTTCTTTCCATCACGCTCATTGTTTTTGGTTTTTTTGGGTCTGTTTTCAAGCTCAAACATTATTTTTTTTTCAATATTTACAACAGCTACCCATAATTGTTAAATACATATTTAGTCTGTATATTTTAAAAATAACATGTTTTAAAACACACTTTTTCATATTCTATATTTGTTGATGTAAAATTAAAAGATCATTTCATGTTATTTTTAGCATTTAAACCAGCATTGTTTACTTACACCTTAAAATAAACTGTAATCCTAAATTTAAAAACAACAATGAAGAATAACAATGATTTAAGCACCTAGTTGATATCTCAAAGGCAACTATTCTACTACAATTATTTCAACAATATGAAAATTATTCTATGAACTTCTTTTTGATGCAGAGAATTATTTTACTTATGTAATAATGATATTAAACAAGGGGATACGGCAATATGCTGTTCAATTGTTTTGCTTTTTCTAGTAACTATAAACATAATGTGGTTAAAATATTTGTGCATCTCTAAAGCTAAGTAAGACCCATTTAAGGAATCAGATAACTGAGTTGGAACCTACATATTTCTATCAAATAAGAAAGAAAACAAAACAGCCATTTAGTTAATGATCTGGCCTCCAAATGGTCCTCTAATATTATAAACTCATAATCTTCTTTTTCTGTGTTTTTATTTACATGACAGAGGGTGCATTTACATAACCTTATCATTTATTTTCCTCATACTTGTTTCTGTAAAAGAGAGATGGGTAGGTCTATATATTCCTACTTCCAAAAAGATGCTAAATTCTGGCTTGCTCATTATCTTTAAACTAAAATTGACTATCCGTTTTTAAAAAGTTCGCCACATTTATAATATATTTTAATATTATAATAGATTTAGACCATTTACAAACCTTTATTAAATGGTCCTTTTATTTAATTTTCTATTTTACATATAAACTACTCATCTACCTGCAGTGTATTATCAGATGACTTTGCAGTCTGGCACCAAAGGGAGCAAGTGACACAAGATGACTTTAATGCAGCTCGTTCTTATGGTGTCCATTATCAGATAATTAATCATAAACTTTACAGACAAGATGATTGCATGTTTCCTTTCAGGTTAGTTACATAAAATAATTGCTCTTAAATTTTAATGAGTTTCTATTGAATATGCAAGGAAAGATGGTTAATTCATGAACTAAGGAACTAAATGCAATTTAGTTTAGTAAACCAACATTCAAAATTATGTAAAAATCTAAACATTTTAAGGTTAAAACATTTTGCTTTTTAAATTGTTTTTTGCTAAAGTTTCAAATTAATGATTAAAATCTCCTATCCAATGTCTAAATTTCTAAGCTTCATTTGTATGCAGCTTATTGCCATAACTTATGTTGATTCTTATAGTTTAAATGATTAGGAAATTAACAAAAAAAAAGTATGTTTATTTTTACAAGGGCCTTTATATTAAGTGAACTAGCTGTACTTACTTACTTATGCCTTTCTACCACGTCTGGGGCATAGGCCCTCTACAAGAATTTTCCACTCATCACGGTCCTGTGCTTTCCTTTCCAATTGCTTCCAGGTGTATCCCATATTTTGCGTGTCTGCCTCTAGTTCTCGTCTCCATGTATTCTTAGGCCTTCCTCTCTTTCTTTTTCCCTGTGGGTTCCATGTGAGGCATTGTCTGGTGGTGCTATCAGGGTTTTTTTTGAGCAAATACCCAATCCATCTCCATCTTTTCTTTATGATATCTTCATCGATGGGCACCTGGTATGTCCTTTCTAGATCTTTGTTGGTGATAGTATTTGGCCATTTGATTTTCAGGATCTTTCTAAGGCATGTGTTTATGAATGTCTGCACCTTCTGCATAAGGCTCACTGTTGTTTTTCAAGTTTCTGCACCATATAGTAGGACTGTTTGACATTGGTATTCTGACTTTTGTTTGCAGCTTCAGCACCTTTGACTCCCATATTTTCTTTAATAGTACAAATGCTGATCTAGCTTTTTCAATTCTGGCTCTTACATCCGCATCGGATCCGCCATTTGTGTCTATGGTGCTGCCTAAATAATTGAAGGATTCCACTTCTTCCAGTGCCTTTCCTGCCAGACAGATATGCTCTTGGTTGGATGAGTTTACCTTCATGACTTTTGTCTTGATTTTATTTATATTGAGTCCAAGCTGTGCAGAACTGGTGGCTACGTCTTTTGTCTTTTCCTGCATTTGTTGTTGGTTGTGGGACAGAAGTGCAATGTCATCTGCAAAGTCTAAATCATTCAGTTGTTCTCAGAGTGTTCACTGTATTCCATTCCTCTTTTCGTCTGTGGATTTTTTCATTATCCAGTCAATGGCAAGGATGAATAGAAATGGGGACAAGAGGCATCCTTGTCTGACTCCTGTTTCGACTGTAAAGGAATCTGTGAGTCTACCTTTGTGGACCACTCTGCATTAGGGTGGCCCAAAAAAACTCAACTTTCACCTACAGAGCAAGACACCCTCTAAATTTTTTCCTTATAGCAAACCTTTAATTAGGGCAGAGTTTAAGCCTCTTGTGCCTACTGCAAGGTGATGCTCAACGACCATGGATTTTCAAAATTTCATCGAAAATTGCCGAACTTTCATGTAATTTACATTTTGCATATTTACTTACTGTATCATGTTCTTTGTGTTATATTTTACTTACTTAAGGTTGGCTGTTTAATTATTCTATGTCATAACTTCCTGTTTAGTGTTACTGTCACAGAGCTAAGTTGAGTTAAGGGAGTTAAGAGAATTATGACTTATTTTTTATAGAGTATGGAACTTGGTAAGACGAACCAATAAGAAAAAAGAATGGAAGAAGAGTACAATGGAAGATGGAATGATGGCGGTTGTTTTAAGTCCATGCTATTAATATATTAATTATGTGAAAGATAATAAATAGGTTGTGATTGTTGAAAGCTGGTATCCCAACAATGTTGGCGACACACTCGTTTGAAAAGTTGGAAATATTGCATGATGCCTGGCTGCTGTTAAAGAAAAACAAAGGACGGAAATCTGAGGCACAGAAATCAAGAGAAATGGAATTTGCAGAAAAACTGAGTCAACTGTTTGATATTGCACATGCTGATGCAATGACAAAAATCAAAATTGAACAGGATAAGGAATGTCTCAATGATCAGAGAACTGAGAGAAGAATGATAATGACAACCGAGGATAAGGAGTTAGCTGAAAAACAACAAAGATCAGAACTGAGGCGACAGAAAGAAGAGGAAAGAAAGCATAAGGCTTCGCAACCTCCGGCATCTACAGCAGCAGCTGCCCTTGCCCAGCCTGATGATGACTGTGCATTTGCAAGCAGTGTTCTTGATGATGAAACCGAATATGACGATGAGTACATACCGACCAAAATTAGCAAATCAGGTAAACAGCAAGACAAGATAATTCAAGTAAAGAAAACCTCTCGAGACCAATTGTTCAATCCAAGTGTAACAAGTGCCTTTGACCATAAAAAACATCTGATCGTGAAGCTGTTCGACTACTTATTCCTATTGTTGCAGCCCTCGGTCACGATCCAAATGCACTTCTTATTTCATGTAGCACTATTCAACGAGCGTGGTCAAGTGCTAGGCATGAAATTTCTAAAGCAATGAAAGATAATTTTGAGCCAACTTGCCGATTAGTAATCCATTGGGATGGAAAGATACTTCCAGCAATATTTGGGGAAGGCTCAGTTGACAGGCTACCAGTTTTAGTTTCAGGTGATGGGATGGACAAACTGTTAGGTGTGCCATAGGTGAGCTCTGGAACTGGTGAGAATGAAGCAAATGCTGTTCACAAATTGTTGGTGGAGTGGCAGCTGGTTGTGAAGGTTCAGGCTATGTGCTTTGACATAACCTCAGTAAATACCGGCAGAATAAATGGAGTATGTGTTGGCCCTGAAAACAGGCTAGGTCGTGATCTTCATTGATTAGCCTTTCGTCATCATGTAATGGAGATCATCTTGTCAAAGGTTTTCACCATCTGCTGTGGACCTTCAAACTCCCCAGATATCCCGCTTTTCAAACGATTCAAAGGCTGTTGGAGTGTCATCACAGGCAGAATTTTTCAGAATTCCAGGTGACACCTTAAGCTTCCAGTTTATCAGATGCAACCATTGCAGTCCTGACCAAAGAGCACCTAAAGGAACAAGTCAGAGATGATTACATGAAGCTTATTGAGTTGACTCTGGGATTGTTTTGGGACATCCACCGAGTACAATCCACTGGAGGGCTCCAGGACCAGTACATCGTGCTCGCTGAATGGCAAAATTAATTTATGCCATGAAAATATATCTCTTCGGCAACCAAACAGATGTATTCAAGTTTACAAAGAAAGAAGAAGCCCAAGTTGAGCGCTTTGTTAAGTTTGGTGCACTAATGTACACCAAGCATTGGGTAACTGCTCCCCGTGCAACTGAAGCTCCATCCAGTGATTTACAGCTGTGGACTGATCTCAGCAGTTACCAGATCATCGATCCTGACATCAGTACAGATGCAAGAAAGTTCCTAGAAAATCATCGCTGGTATCTTTCAGACGAGCTTGTTGGATTAGCCCTGTTCTCAGATCATGTGACAGAAGATGGGAATTGTGCAGGGAATGACCCGCGAGGCTGGCGAAAAGTGCGTGGAGATTCATCAGTTCTAATGAAACCATATGTATGTTTAGGTGACTTTGCAACTACCAGAAAGGGGAACCTTCTTTGTTGTCATAACATTGACACCGCCTTTCTTGATTTGCCACCACAAGAGTGGCCTGCAAGTGAACAGTATCAATATGGCCAGACATGATTCAAGTCATTACGTGTTGTGAAATACACTGCAGAGCGAGCGGTGAAGCTTTTTGAAGAATACAACACACTGCTTACTAACGACGAAGAAGAAAAACAACTCTTATTGCAAGTAGTGGAAGCATACCGCAAGGCTGCTCCAACACAAATCACCAAAAAGTCTGCTGTTCAGGCCTTAATGTGTGAATGACAATAACATTGACTGATAATGCATGCTTTTGTGACTTGAATTTGAGTTGGTAAAATTTTCCAGTTTTTTTATGGAACGGCACAATTTGACCTTTTAATTGTGACAAATGCCAATAACCATATGTTTAAGCTTAGTGGTTAATTTGCAAAAGAGTGTTGAAGTGTTGATATTAAAAAGCTATTACTGGTTGTAATTTTAAAACATTCAACATATGCGTATGGCTTCATTTTGCTCGAATTTTGTAAAATTTGGATGTTATATTGCTCTTGAGCACCGTCTTGTAGTTAGAATTTAAAGCTAAAACTTTACCAAAACATTACCATTAGCAGATGTACAAACTTGGGAAGGTGTCTTGCTCTATAGCACACATTTCATTTTTTGCCATATCTCAATGAACCACCCTACTCTGCATGTCATTTCTTCATAAGAGCTCAGAATGATTCTGACTAGTTTCCCTGGTACTTCATAGTGCCGAAGAAGTTTCCACAAGGTTTGTTGGTCCAGGCTATCAAAGGCCTTTTCGTAGTCTATAAAATTTATATACAGAGGGGAGTTCCATTTGATGGACTGTTCTACAATGATTCTTAGTGTTGCTATTTGGCGGAAGCCAGCCTGTTGATCTCGTAGCTGCATGTCGACCTGGTCTCTCATTCTATTCAAAATAATTCTGTTAAAGACCTTTCCTGGTACAGACAGCAGCGTGATTCCTCTGTAACTTTCACAGTTGCTGAGATCCCCTTTCTTTGGTATCTTGATGAGGTATCCTTCTTTCCAATCTTTTGGAACTCTCTCTTCTTCCCATATCTTTTCAAACAGAGGGTGCAGCATGTTGACTATCGTATCTATACCAGCTCTCATTATCTCTGCTGTGATGTTATCCGGCACTGGTGCTTTCCCTATTTTTTAGCTGCTTGATGGCGAGAGCTATTTCTCCATTATTTGGTGCGCTTTCTTCTATTTGTAAGTCTTCATTTGCTGGTGGTATGTCTGGTGCATCTGTGGGTGGGGGTCTGTTTAGTAGTTCCTTAAAGTATTCCACCCATCTATTTTGTTGCTCCTTCCTTTCTGTTATTGGCCTACCTGCTCTATCTTTGACAGGTCTCTCCGGCCTTTTGTATCTCCCTGACAGCTTTCTTGTTATGTGGTAGAGCTCTTTCAAGTTGCCCTTTCTGGTTGCTTCTTCTGCTGTTGGTGCTAGGCCATCTATGTAGACATTTTACCTTTTTTAATGCTTTTTTTTACCTTTTGGTTTGCTTCTTTATATTTCTCTTGTGCTTTTGTTTTCTCCGCCTTGGTCCGGCTGCTGTTTACTAGACTTTTCATTTACTTTCTCTCTTTTATATTTTGTAGTGTGTTTCGTGAGAGCCAGTCTTTGTGTTTCTGCTTCACTGATCCTAAAACTTCTTGGCAAGTGGATGTTACAGACATCTTTATATTTTGTCCTTTGTGTTCTACTTGGTCATCTTCTGTTTGGTCTTCCAGTGCTTGGAATTTATTCCTTAAGGTGGCACTGAATTCCTCTCTTTTGTGCTCGTGTGCCAGAAGTGCTACATTGAATTTGGTTCGCTTAGCAGTTGGCTGTTCCCAGTTTTTCTTCAACTTTAACTTGATTCTCGTCCAAACAACATGATGATCGGATGCGACATCTGCTCCTCTTTTTGCTTGTACATCTTGTAGAGACTTTCAAAACTTTTTGCTGATACATATTACGTGATCTATCTGGTCTTGCGTTTTGTTGTCTGGGGATACCCATGTTATCTTGTGGATGTTTTTATGTTGAAATTCGCTTCCTCCAATAACAAGTTCATTTGTTGCCCAGAAGTCTGCTAGTCTTTCTCTGTTCTCATTCCTCTCTCATATACCGTGGCGTCCCATGATTTCCTCATACCCACTGTTGTCTTGGCGTTAAGGTCTCCCATAAAAATGTTCATGTCTCTATTTGGGAATTTATCTATTATTGCTTGCAGTCTATTGAAGAATGTTTCTTTCTCTTCTTCTTTACTATCGGTGGGTGCGTAACAATGTATTAAGTTCATCTTTATTTTCTTTTTCTTGGTTCGGAAGGTAGCTGTTATTATTCTTGATCCATGGGCTTCCCAACCAATCAATGCATCCTGTGCCATGGGCTTCCCAACCAATCAATGCATCCTGTGCCATGGGCTTCCCAACCAATCAATGCATCCTGTGCCATGGGCTTCCCAACCAATCAATGCATCCTGTGCCTTCCTTGATAACATCAAAGTGACTTCTTGCGTGTACTGAGCATTTTCCTCCTCATGCCCCGAGTACATTAGCATTTCTCCAGAGGCTAAAGTTATTTGTCCAGGTTGTATCCATCTTGTTTCACAGATGCCAAGCAGTGTAAGTTTGTAAGATCTCATTTCTGCTCCCACCTGCGCTGCTTTCCCTGTTTCATACATGGTTCTGACGTTCCACGAGCATATGTTTGTTTCCTTAGAAAGGAGAGTCTTCGGCTTTGAGGCTTCCAATATATCCTGGGTTTGGCCACAAGGCTTCATAGCTCTTCTTGGAAAAGAAGAGTCCCCTTTTCTCAGGGCTGAAATTTGTTGGTTTTTTCTTGTTGTCGTTTCTGTAGCAATTTGTTTTTACGGGTGAGGTAGCTAGCCTAACGCCAACCCTCCTCCTTTTGCACCCGGGCTTGGGACCGGTCTTGGTGGAGTTGAACTAGCTGTGGTGATCTAGAAAATTTCAAAATAAAAATATTATTAAAAAATTTAGTTAACTGGAGCTCACCTTGCATGAGGTCCTGCTACTCTAACTTACTCTGAGCTTGAAAGTTAATACTTCAAACCTAATTTACAAAGATATCTTTTATTTGTATGCAATGATATTGTTGTAACTATCAAATTGGATGACAAACCTTTTTTTAATAGATGCAGTGGAGTTGAGCACTTTATATTGGAAATAATGTCTGAGTTGCCCGATATGGAGATAATTATCAATGTAAAGGACTGGCCACAAGTATCACTTCATCAGAAACCCTTGCCAGTTTTTTCTTTTAGCAAAGTGGTGAGTTCATCACATCTTTGTTACACTATGAGTAGAGCTTACCTCTTGTCAGAATATAAAAATAAATTTGTTTCATTAATAAGTTGCATTTGATCTGCAACAATAGGATTAGAGGTTTATTCAGTCATTTCAGATTAACAACTATGATGTTTTCATCATGAAAATGCCAATGTCTAAATTATAAAGTTGACTGCTATTTTAGTGGGGTTTTTTACTGAATTAACTGCTACTAAACAAAACTGAAGACCTCAAAAATATTTATTTATTTTTCTCTTACCTTCTAAAATCTAATCAATGGTAATCAACAACATTATCACTCATTTTGTTGTTTCTGTATGGAAATTATTTTTTGTAACCAATGTTTTAGCCAGATCACCACTGGGATATTATGTATCCAGCATGGACATTTTGGGAAGGTGGTCCAGCTGTTTGGCCAATATATCCTACTGGATTGGGCCGCTGGGACCTTCAGAGAGATATAATAACAAGGTATTAAGTAATAATTAAAATATTTAAGATTTAGTTACTGCGACAACATGGGATTGTCACTGGCTGATTCAATTATTTTTTAGGTTGTCACAAATGACTGGGGTGGGGGTACAGGACAGAGCTCCATTGTTGTTAAGGTACCTTATTGGTTGGACGGAAACTGCTGTTAGTTTAGGGACGCCATTGTTAAGGGGGTGAGTTAAGGTTAATAGATTGTCGCATCTTGGAGATAGAGGGGACGGTTTCTTTCCATGACTTGGCATGATAATTTTTGGGTTGACGACAGGAAATTCTAATTGACCGGAAATTGACTGGTAATTGAGAGCATTCCTGGGCCACCTAAGGAGTTAGAGAATCGCATATAAGACAGAACTTTTCAAGATAGGAGCTAGTTGAGGAAGAGGGAACAGAGTTACGATGTTAGTTGAGGAAGAGAGACAAAAGAGAGGAAAGAGCTACGATAGAGTTGAGTGGTTGCTAGGGAATAGTCGCAAGAGATCAGTAGACGAGTTTACTAGTGGAACATAGGAATAGTTGAGACGAAACAGTTCAGAAAGTCATAGCTATAGTAATAGACAGTTGACAGTTAGCGGCAACAACAGAAGAACTTTTATTTATAAATAAATACATTCTCTTATAATCGGGACACCTGGAGTTGGAGTTGTTGGTTTTCGTTCTCGTTCAAGTCGTTGTGCTTTGTCTGTCCCAACGCCTAGACACCCACCATATAAATCACAGAGAGGAGCGGTCCTGTACTGACCACTGCTTAGTCAACACAGTTCGTGATAAGTCAGGACCGGAGCCCTCCTCCGTAACAACCGTTCTGTGACATAGGTTGTATTGCAAAATAATTTATTTCAGTTAAAGTTAAAAAGTAATAGTTAAAAGATTTAGCCTAATTAATAAGACATTTCATTCTATCTCAAGGGCAGCTGAGGAATGGCCTTGGGATAAAAAAGAAGATAAAGCATTTTTCCGTGGCTCACGGACCAGTGCTGAGAGAGATCCACTGGTCCTATTATCTCGCAGAGAACCAGACCTTGTAGATGCCCAGTACACCAAAAATCAGGCTTGGAAATCTGATGAGGTGAGAAAAAAGAATTAAATCTTTTCACTTAACAATGACATGGTTTTAATATTCTTGAATTAAAAATTATTATAACTTGTAAAATATTTAAGTTTTTAAGAATATTCAAATGATTAAGAATGTTTGTCTTAATCTCATTTGACAAGAAAAATTTCTGTGGATTCAATTTTGTTTTGTTTTTTAAAATTATAAATTACATAGATATTTTTTTTTTACTGTGCTTTTATACAAATTTCATTATACAAAGGGAGTAATAGAAATGTTGTGCTTTTCTCACTCTCTAAGAGAGGCACTTAAAACACCTTCTAATCATATTTGTTTTACCTTTCCATTCTTACAGGACACATTATACCGCCCCCCTGCCACGGAAGTGAAGCTAGAAGAACATTGCAAGTACAGGTATTGATAAAATTTGGTAGCCACTGAAATTTATTTGAATTACCAACTTTTTAAAATTCCTAATTAAAATTGGTAAATATTTGTTTTTTTTGTTAATCTTTATCTGAAAGCTAAAACTCAGTTCTGAAAATATCTGATTGATTTGTTATCCATGTCCATCATCAGCCATGAAAAAATATTTTAAAAAGGTTTAAAAATGGTGTACATCTGAAAGTTTCATGCCTCTTAGGTCCAAATCAATTTTTTTTCAAAATGAACCTTAAGCGTATTGATCTGTACAAAGTGACCTCTGTTCATTGCAGAATATAAAAATAGCATGAGTTGACAGGTCTCCTATCTACCTATATACCAAGTGTGGGATTCATTCACAAATAGAAATAGCAGAATAAGTGTGAATCAGAAATAGCTTTGAGAAAAATTTTAGTTGGTAATAAAACATAATTAAAAATGATTTATGTAAATATATTTAATAAAATACATTGTCAGCAGGTATTTATATGTACATTTTTAAAAGAATTATATCGTTTGCAATAGAATCGATGGAGAATTTTATAATTTCAATGCATTTTTTTTGTAAAGTGCTTTTGTTTTTCTTTTATTTAGATTATTCCTTTTACTTTGTGCAGTTGTTATTGTATTTAAGAGGCTTGAAATCAGGGGGCATTTAATAAGCATATAATAATTTATTTATATATATATATATATATATATATATATATATATATATATATATATATATTAATATATATATATATATATATATATATATATATATATATATATATATATATATATATATGTTACATACCATTAAAAATTAAATCTGAGTTAATAGTTGGCTCGTAGACAGAACAATATGTAACAAAAGACTGATTAAACAGTCTGCAAAGAAAACAATACTAAATCTAGTGATACTAAAATTTAATTTAATTATATAAATAAATTTCTATACAAATACAAATTTGAGTACATGGCGTAAAGTGTATCAACTTACAGCAAGTGAGAAAAAAGGTACAATCCTCATACACAAAATAATATAACGTCTAGTATGTCTATCTATAAGTCTCGCTAAGTCTATCTCTCAGTTAGACTATCTGCTAAGAAATCTTGTGGGCTTTAAATAGGAATTAAATCTGAATGTTCTAGAACAGGAAATGTAGAAATTGGCATTTTTGAGAACAAATGGAACGCATTCCAATGTAAAGAAAACTCTTCCCCAGGCAGGGCAGGGACTGGCAAGGAAAGTGACAAAGCCCTGCTCTGTACTTGTGGATATATCAATCTATATGATACATATATAAAATGGAATAATATCAGTATATCCGGTAACTGTTTTGTGCAAATGTCCATGAAATGGAGATTATAAGATGAGATAATTTGCCCTGCTATTTTCTATTACTCTTAGGTACCTGTTCAACTTCAGAGGTGTGGCTGCCAGTTTCCGCTACAAACACTTATTTCTATGCAACTCAACTGTATTTAATGTCGGAAATGATTGGCTAGAGTTCTTCTACCCTGCCCTGAAGCCTTGGGTGCATTATATTCCTGTCAAGCCTGACCTCTCAGATGCCAGGTATTGTTGCAGTCCTGGAGTTTTCCATCACAATAACAATTTTGACTTGAGTGTGATATTTTTTTTTTATAGTCAAGATTTAAAAAACAATAAATCTGCATTCATATTTTTCTATTTTAAGATAGATGTGTTTTAATAGTTTTTGCTTGTGGTATTGCCACCTGTATCCTTGTTACTCTCTTCCCCAGAGATTTACTTTTATTTGCAAAGCACAATCAAGAAGCTGTGAAGAAAGTAGCTGACAGGTAGATTTTCAAATTAGTTAAATTAACAGTAATTGCCATTTCCCAGTTGAATGTATTAGGCATATCCTGACATGTCAGGGCCTTGCGATTGGATGGGGCTCAAGCACCAGCCTGAGGGAGGCACCAAAATCAATAACTATCCTAATATGTATAAAGTGCAGGAGTCTCAAACTCAAATTACCTGGGGGTTGTAGGAGTTAGAGTCTGAGTGAGACTGGGCCGCATCAAGTTTTCCACAAAAGAAGCGATGACAAAGTCAATGAAGTACTACTGTTACAATCTGCCCAACCTTTATTCATAACAAATAAAAACATTAAGGGTTCTCAAGAACTAGGCTTCACTTACTTCCTCCTATGCCTTGTTGCCAGAGACCTGGCAGCGCTTCTTCTTACAGAGCTGAGCAACATTTGGCTTGAGTGAGGAAGCAACCGAGATCCTCAGTATAGCTTGAAGATGTTCATCAGTAAATTTGGTCCTGAACTTTGACTTGTTAAAGTTCATAGTTCAAAAGAGCTTTTGACATAGATAGGTACTCCCAAAAAAGCACATCATCAGCTTGAACAACCTGGAAATCTCATGGAAGGTGGAGGGCAACTCACTCATAAATTGTCCAAGCTTGCCTTTTTTTCCATTCACGTCCCTTAACTTAGCCTTGAGTTCAGAATTGCACTGAAGTTCAATCAGCCCCATTTGAAGCGCTGGAAAAAAGAGGGGGGGGGGGAGATTTCCTGCCTTAGCAGAGCAATAATTGCACTCACCATGCATCTGTGCCATAACTGCACAAAACATTTTCTCTTAACTTAGCCTTGAGTTCAGAATTGCACTGAAGTTCAATCAGCCCCATTTGAAGCGCTGGAAAAAAGAGGGGGGGGGGGGAGATTTCCTGCCTTAGCAGAGCAATAATTGCACTCACCATGCATCTGTGCCATAACTGCACAAAACATTTTCTCATTACATTTTAGCGGCCATCCATTATGAGGAGAAATAACCAAACAGATTTTCCTTTTGTCTTTCAATGGTATCCATTGACTTTAAATATTCTCTCAAGTGTCATTCTCTCAATATAACTCAACTCTATCAATTGGTAAAGTCATACAGGTCTTTGAAACAAGTTTTATTTTTACTAACAGACTTTAATTATTTTCAGGGGCAGGCAGTTTATAATTGACCATTTACGCCTAGAAGATGTCAGTTGTTACTGGAAACTCTTGTTACAGAAATATGCAAAGCTGCTATCATTCAAGCCCACTCTTAACAATAATTATAAACAGATTAAAGGTAGTTAAATTGTGTTCCATTTTACTTTTGGATAGTCACTAATCAGCATTGCAACAAGTGCATCGTAAAATGATTTAGATTTTAAATGGATTTTTATTTTAAAAGCTTTTGTTATGTTGAATCCCATTTCCAACTGATTAGTGAACAAATAACTGGCATTATAAACAAATTTTAAAATGTTGTTGACATTTTCATCATGGAGTGTTTTGTCCTGATATTTAACATTATGTGGGAAAATTGTTGTTCATTTTTTAACAGTTCTTACTATTGTGACAAAATTTTTTTTTAACACAACATGAGACAAAGCAAGAGTTAATAAGTCATATGAAATACTTGTAGATCTAGTTTTTTGCAAAAATACCCCGTAAGCTCTCATAAATTGTGTTTTTCTTTATTTTCATCCTTCTCATAAATGCATTTTCAATTCAGCAATAGGAATAGATGCAATATTTTGATTGTTGATGTGATATTTAAATCACTGTTTAACTGATTGAGGTTAAAAGGGGTGCATTACATTTAATGCTAAACAGGAAACATGTCATAATTTAGAGAGGTTGCTGAATGATATAAATAGATTTTTTTTCTTTTCATAGACTTGCCTAAACTAAGAAAATCAATACTAATGTACTAAGGGGCCATCTCATCTTCAAGTTTAAGATTTACAATTTTTAAATTAAAGCCATACATTCCATAAATGTGGAACAAACTCATACTTAATCTCATCAATCTCAAGCTCAAAGCTTTTCATCCTGTCATTTATTTGGTGTAAAGAATAAAATATACATTTAGCATAAATGAAATGAGAGAATCATTTAGGCCAAAGTTGCATAGTCTTAGCAGATGCCAATTTAAATAGAATCCCATTTATTTATTGCCTTATTGTTTTATTTTTTTAAAATTGCATACATAAATAATGTTGAAAAGTGAGTATTATCTTAGAAAAAAAACAAGAAACATTTCATCTTATAAGACTTTTTTTAAATGGATTGTCATATAAAATGTACTGTCATATATTTGTTTGTATATTATACAGTTATTGAATTAATTCACATGACCCTTTACATTATTATATTCTGCCCTGTTTCAAAATCCCTAAAATTTCAGCTTATTTACTAAAATTACATTGTACATGTTATTTTTCAAGATTTATAGTAACATAAACCATTTTTATGTTACTTGACATTTTGGTATAAACTTGAAATTTTCATTTGATTGAAAGTAAAAGTTAAACTGAAATATACATAAAATAAAATATACAAATTTAATGGAAAAATAAAGTTTCTTGCTTTTTTTTTCTACCTTACTAATTTTGTTTAAAATCCCTTTATGAAATTCATGTACATCAAAAAAAAAAAATGATCAATGTTGCATTCTTGCTATTCTATGTACATACAAAATGCAAACAAATGGCTAAATTTTCAAGAGCCTCAACTAAGGCATCACACTTACAATGCATTTAATTATTCCAGTCTCATATCTTATTTTTTAAAGTCAAATCTCGAAATGCATGGGATATTTGGAGCATGAGTTTAAAAGTATCAAAACTATTAGGGACTGTTCCATGGTTTTTTCTACTTTAATATGTTTTAGGATTTGATTAATTTGTTGAATAATATGTAACAAAGGAATGAAAACCAGTACACAAAGAAAAACGACACCGAAGCTTGTGGTATAACAATATTTTTGGTGGTGGGGATGAAAATTTGAAAGACTGTTTTGTCATCGGGCAACGAGTTTATGTGCAAAGTTTCAGCTTCATATGTTGACAGGAAATAGGTCAATTAGCCATCCAAAGATTTTGCCAGCCATCCTGACACGAACAAAAGTGAAGTTAATATAAAGGATTTAATAAAAGTGTTATTATTTGGCTTGCCTTCTAATTCATTCACACTTTTGCGACGCTATTAGTTGGTACGTATCAAGATAATCATGTGGGAAGAATATGCAGTGCCATAACAAATCCTCGATTCGGGCGCTCTCTCCCCACACGCCCCCTCCCCAACCAAAAATATAATGAATACCTTCAATATATTTTTGATTAAAAAATGACAGTTTTGATGTTTCTGAAAGTGGTGCCCGGGTGGGAGCGCTCTTCACATGGCCCTGCCTGCCACCATCTTTTGTTCATCATCAACTCGACATTTGGGCAGTGGTTGTCAAATGAACATTTGCAAAATATTTGCAAATATTGTTAATGACACCTCCCCCACCCAACCACCCATTTTTTAAAAATAAAAATTGCTATCTGTATGCATTTAACTTTCTAGCAACAAGAAAAAAACAAACAATACAAGTAATGCGCAAACAAAATTCACCATTAAAATATTTATTGCTGTTAATCAAAATGCATAATAGCATATTATTTTTTCAAGGCAGCACCAACTAACAATGGAAACAAATACACTTATCTGGGTCTTCTGCACCTCAGGTGGTGCTTTCACCCTGGTTAGGAACCACTGTTCTGCGGGCATAAAAGATAATAATTGATGGGTCTTCATCAGCAAACAAGACAAAAAGAACTATAACAAGTAACAGAGCACAGTAAAAAAACGTTCCTTTTCTTTGTAGGGGAAGTAGGGTCTAGAAGTTTGTGACGTTATGTTTGAGGATTGGGGGGGGGGGGGGGGGGGTGTTTTTTTCATATTTTTTTTTGAATTTGTTCTCACAATTTTTTTTTGGGGGGGAAGGGAGGGTAAAATTTGCCTGACGTCAAAAAAATACATGGCCCCTAATTACATACTCAACCTCCACAAAAAAAATGCCCATCATAGGCCAATTTTGCTTATGTAGCCTTAATAGCAATGTCAAATGATCTGTGGTGTAGCAAGAGTTCAGTTTATAACGCCCTATGTGGACGTTGGATTTTCCACCTCTCATTCGCGAAAACCACAACATGTTTGGTAATAAAAATACAATTTTACAAATCAAACTGGAAAGGGTGGGGGTATAATGGCGTCAAAATCCTTAACTTATAACGTTATTGCAACTGGCGTTAAAAAAAAATTAAATAATAATATCATTAAAAGGAAAACCACAGCACACCACTTTTTATGCGGGCGTCAACTTCATTCAATTTTTTCCCGAGTGAATTTTTTTTTGGGGGGGGGGGTTTCGTGAAGTAAAGTTGTGAGAGAGACCGTTGCATTCGAAAATGGGGTGCATCAATTTAGGATTTAAGAAAAAAATTTTGGTCAAGGCGAAGACAAAAAACACATTTATTTCACGTCAAATATATTTTAGGATGGGGCCTAATTCTTAAAATTTCTCACCAATACTATGCGGAAGTACACGGTGTCACGTGACAATTGACATTGCTGCATAATAAATCTGTGAATAAACATGGCGACTTAGTGTTGAATCATATAAGGAAATGGGTGATCGGCTACTTTCTCTACGGTTTTTAAACTATATAGATACATTTTAGAACCAGAAAACCAGCCATGGCATCCACGGATGTAATTTTAGCGTCTGTGGAAGATTTTCAAGCTGAAATTGTTCGATTGACCAAAGAGTTAAGCGAAACCACCAAAGAGAAATTGCAAGCAGCCGAGTATGGTCTGGCTGTATTAGAGGAGAAGCAGCAACTTCAACAGCAATATGAGGATCTCGAAGCCCACCTTGAAGCAACACGAACGGAACTTGAATGTGCTAAAGAGGTGATTAAATTTAATCCATAACAATTTTTAGTTGGGTTAAAACGAAAAATTAGTCTGTGCAGCCGTGTACTAATAAAAAGTTCAGTTGATTTTTTTCGTGGTGAGGCCTTTATTGCCCTTTATTCAATTAAATCAATAAGCATTATAATTATATGAATTTGTAATGCCTATCTCTTTGATAAAGTAAGCCTACAGTAAAGCAATAAAGAAACTGACTAAAAGATTCATTTTTTTTTTATTTTTTTTTTGTTCCAATAATCTGTAATACTCTAGTTAAGTAAGTTAGGTTGAGTGTGTTTATTTTGTCAATCTGGACATTTACACTTTCCGGGCCACTCTTTTCACTGTGTGTGTTTTTTTGCGCTACTTTTTTTTACACTGCTGCCATCTTTGTTGCCATGACATCAAAGATGATTCTGTGTCAAAGAAGTAGTGCAAAAATCACATGCCAAAATGAAAATGAGGAGGGGGCCCGAAAAGGGAGACTGATTTTTACGCACTGGGGAATTTAACCTACATTTTAGGTAGAGTTATAGGGTAAATATCTGTTTGTTGCACCACATATTTCCCATGGCCGCCATCTTGGTTGCCATGATGGTAGACATGTCATGGCTGCTGCATAAAAAAAGTAGTGCAAACACACATCAGCTAAAATGGGAAGGGGAAAGAGAGAGAATGTGCTGTTAAAGCTACTTACAGAGAGAAATGTGAAATGTAACTACGAAGAAAACATTAAAATTTAATGAAATAATGTTTTGAGAAATGCCCCCAATTCTAAACTCTACCACTCTGTCTAACCCTAATGCTAAGTCAGTATCCCTAACTCTAAAGTATCCCTAAAGTGTAGATTCCACCATAAATTTAGCCCCCCTTAACTTGAGTGTAAGTTCACCCCTAAATTTAGTCACCCCTAATTGTATTGTAAATTTTCAAACTTAAAATCTATGACCTAATACCTAAGTAGTCTTTTTTTATATTTAAAATTGAACGCATGTAATTATATATAACAAATACTAATATCACCCATAAAACTAATTACAAGCATGCCCTTACCGGAGTATGTCATTAAATATTAAAAGGTAATGGGGATCTTCTGCCTGCCATTTTCCGGGTAGAATGCCCTACAGTGACTTCTTTGTCTTGTTGATGAAACCCACAAATTTCTCCTTCATAAACTTTGTCGCCGCCATCTGCATCCAAACGTTCCGCCTTATTGGATATGGACCATGGAAGGAATTCCAAAGTTTGCAACAGAAATGTAAAATTTTCTCTTCCACCCAAAAGAAGCCTAACATTAAATACTAATCATAATTCTGAATCTATACAATTTTTTTGTTTCTTTTTAATATTATTCAAGTGATGTTTTTATTAAATTTATTTCCTTTTTTTTTGTTTTGTTTATTTAATTAGAAATATATTATTGTTGATATAAATGTTAACATTTTCTTATGCCTCTGTCCTAGTTTGATATAATTACTATGATGATGTAGAGTCTTATTTATTTATTTATTTTAATAAACTTGTTATAGACTAATTCATAGGTTATCTAATTTTAATTTTAAACAAGTCACAGTGATGCAATTTTCACAAAAAATATATGTACGAAAAAAAATTAATTTTAGACTTAGAAGTGTATCAGAATGCATAACCATATTTTATTGGAATTACAATTGATAATAGTATATTTTTAATAGTGGTAGCAACTGCTTTTATTTTGTTATTATCATTAATTATAATTTATAAATACCACTAATAACTAGCGTTATAGTAGTAGTATTACTACTACTACATATAATAATTATATAAATCAAGGGACAAAACAAGTCCGAAATTCACCGGACTACACGAACTACAATTATTTAAAATGATTTAATTTATTAAGTTGTACTACTTTCTAATAATATTGTAAAACAGTTTTCCCTTTATTAACTAATTAGTCTACCACGGATTATCAAAGATGAACTATAATGAATAAATGAAAATATCTTTAAGTTAAATTGGTAATAACAACCATTTCCGACAACCCACTTTTTTTTGTGAGGGGGGATGACTCGGGTGACTACTAACAATTTTATTTTCTTACACCTTCCAGTTGGATTGGCATAACTTTTGTGCGTTTGGGCTAATTTTAATGAAGTAAAGTTATTAAACTGTGTGAATGAATGAAGCAGTATTGAGCTAAACCACTATGAGTTTTACATTAAAAAGTAATAAGCAATTAACGTGCATACCGATGGAAAATTAAATGCGTTACCGGTCACAATATTCTAAATGCTGCAAATATGGTATTCCCATGTTTGGAAAAATATGTGCTCTACGTCACCGATAATTTAAATACTATTATTAGCAAACACTGACGTGCAACGTCAAAAAACGACACCCTCGCTATGCCGTATAGTTATATTGCAGCACAAGTTTTTGCATTATTTTCGGACCTGCGCAAACTGAGTGTGCGGGCGGTATCGAGGTGCCTAATGTGACACCACCCACTCCAATGCTAAAAATTACTATGAGTCCTATTCCTATAGCATTATAGTTAATTCTAAATGTGAACTATAAAAATTATGCTTTAGAAGGATTTATCAGAATAATAACATATTTTTAATTTTTTTT